GCGAGGTAGGGGGTGGGGGCGGCCCGCGGCGGGGCTGGGGAGCGTCGGCTGAGAGCACCCGCGGGAGGAGGCGGGCGCCAAGGGGCCGGGCGCCGGGCGGTCGGCGGAGGCCGCCTCGCCTGAGGTGCCCCCGGGGCCGTCTGCGGCCTCAGCCCCGCTACGGCCTGCGGCCGCCGAAGGGCGGGTTCGCCGCCCCGCTCGGGGACGGGCCTGGCGGCGGGGGCTTTGCCGGGTGACGCCGAGCGCTGCCGGTCGGGCGCTGGAGAGCGAAGTCCCAGAGCCGCTCCCGGGGACACAGCGGCTCAGGAGGGCGAAGCGGGGCTGGCGCCGAGGCACCGGCGTCCCCTGCCTGCCGCCTCCTGCCCGGCGGGCGAGGAAACGGGGCCGGGAGCCTGTGGAGCCGCTGGCGCTACGCTCGGGAGATGCGCTGCTCTCCAGCCCAGGGTGGTTACGGAGGCGCGTGAGACAAAGCTCTAAATCCGTGTGGGTTTCTGTGCTTTCTTTTATAGATGCCTGTGACCGTGGGCCCGTATGGGCAATCGCAGCCCAGCTGCTTTGACAGAGTAAAGATGGGTTTCATGATGGGCTTTGCAGTGGGCATGGCTGCAGGAGCGCTCTTCGGCACGTTTTCCTGCCTCAGGTACGCCCAGACGATGATTCCTGTGGGCAGGGTGTGACGGAGCCGTAGCCAGAGAGAAACGCTCCTGCTCCGGGATGGGGAGGGGAGGAGCGGGCCTGGCCCTGGCTCATCTCGTGGGTGAAACTTTGCCAGGGGCTCTGAATTAGCTGCAGTTCCAGAGCCTGCTGCCAGCCCAGCCTGACATGGGAGAAGCTGGCAACGGTGGGCATCGCCTCTGGGTTCACAGACCTTCCCCTGCCGCCCAAAGGGAGGTTGTGTTGGGAAGATAAGGCTGTGGAAGATCAGCTGCAGATACACAGACAGCTCCCTCCTTGCTCTAAAGCGTCCTAAAGCGCTCTGCAGGCTCTTGGGTGTCTGCATCGTGGTTGCTTTGGGTGTCCCATCCCCCTGCTCAGAGGCGATTACCGTCTGACTCCATTAATTGCGAGAGTGTAGGCAGAGGTGCAGCTGGCACTGGCACAATCCCACTGTGAATCGGAGAGGGACAACAGTCCACATTCCCTCGGCGTGCTGGCATGGAAACAGACAACACTCACCACTCCAAGTTAGCTCTTGCACTGCTTCCTGACTGGTTTTGGCACACATCATCTGTGAAGAGGACTTACTGAAATTTGCAATTCTGCAAAATACAGAAGAGCTTAACTCTTCTTGAGTTTTTTAATCTGTGATTAAACACAGGCAATTATTTGGTAGTGAGAAGGAAAAGGCACAAAGTCTAATCTGATGGAGTTTTAAAAGTTTTCTGATCTCTCTCTCACATCATAGAACCATAGAATGGTTCAGGTTGGAAGGGACCTTCAAAGCCCATCCAGTGCCACCCCCTGCCCTGGGCAGGGACACCTCCCACTGGACCAGGTTGCTCCAAGCCCTGTCCAACCTGGCCTTGAACCCCTCCAGGGATGGGGCAGATCCTGGGGAGCGTGAATGGTACGATGCCAGCAGAAAATACAGAGGCAGGGTATTTAGAGGAAGCAGTAATAGTGGTTCTGTCACGCTTGGAATGACACAGCTATATCACTTCTGCTGTACCACTTCTCAGGGAAAATCTCCATGTTTTAAAAATCAAGTGCATGAAATTCCTTAGACCCTACAGCCCCTACGGTGCTTAAAAGCCAAATGTTACAAGAGTGTCCTGAGAAAAAAATTACTTTTGCTTTGGTCTGACCTCAAGTAAATGGGAACCGGAGAACAGAAATGCCTCTGGACAGTTCCAGGCCTTTCAAGTTTCTTTCCTGTTAAAAATATGGCGTCAGTGGTAAATAGGTATTTTACAACATGGGTTCAAGTTGGTGGCATTAAAAATACTGCCACTGCAGCCAGATAGGATGGTAATACAACAGCTCAGACCCTTTTTATTGTCTGGCAAGTCAAATATTTGGACAGCACAACTTCCCCCCCCCCCCCCCCAAAACTAAAGGTATTTGGGGCAGCAGCAGGTGAAGCTGTTCCTGTGATTGGTGTGGCCGGGGGTCACAGCGTCAGCTGGTACCATTGCAGGAGAACATACACGTGGGCCGTTGCTCACTCAGCTGCTCCAAAGAGACCAGCTCCATTGTTGTTTGCAGTAGCTCCGGCTCGGGGCTTGGCAGCCCCTCTCTTTGCAGAGGCAGGAGGTACCATTTTAAATTTAGACTGAAGAAGTGTTTGATTCGGGCGCTCAGGCAGCCATTAGCTGGTTGTATCAGATGTTTTCTCTTGCACGTCTTACCTGACAGGCACCAGCCTTTATATAATTCCTGTGTTTTTCTCTATCTCAGGATTGGCATGAGAGGACGAGAGCTGATGGGTGGAGTTGGCAAAACAATGATGCAAAGTGGTGGGACGTTTGGGACATTCATGGCTATTGGTATGGGAATCCGCTGCTAGCCTGGAGCTTGGGTTCTATCCCGAAGCACAGGTCCAGCCATCCCTCCTCTGTACCATAATAAAATCTTTAGATACCCAGAAGCGAGAGCTCTTCATGAAACGGTGAAGTACCATCTTCCTTGCTCTACTGATCGTAAACATGCTTTTTACCAAATTTCTACTTTCCTCCCATGACAATGAGAATTACTAATCCTTTGTACTATATTAAAGTTCTTATTTCCCAGGCACAAGTACAGCGCACACGTTTCTCCCTTTGGTACTTGGCCGTTGTGTTCCCGTTGTGTTGATGTGGAGCTCCATTGTGTTTGTGCATCCCTGGGTCTAGGAGGTCTCTGTGGCTAATTCAGGTCTAAAGAGCAAACTACCAAATTCCTCTCCTCTTGCAAAATTAGGTGGGTTGAAGTTGGCCCCTTTTCTGAGTTCCAGGTAGTTTGGGGCCAGAGAGTGAGGGACCCCAGAAGGACTTGGGCAAGCCCTTCTGCAGCTGATGGCAGGCTACAGCTGCTCGGGCACCTTCTTCCAGCCCCCCCAGCAGCACGTGGGTGTGGGAAGCATCGGGGAATGGCACAGAGCAGTTACAGCCGTGCTACTACAGCTGGAAATCATTACATTGCTGGAAAATGGAAAACCGCTCCTGTCATGTGACAGGTAATGGTGTTTCACCACGAGTTACAAGGATGACTTCCACACCAGAGGTGGGAGATGTCCCTGTCAGGCCTTGAGCAATGGCTTTCCCAAAGCTCTGCCCTCAGGAGGAGCTGTGCTGCAGCCACTGCGCTCTGCTCCACAGCCCTGCGGCTGCCTCCAGCCACAGGAACGGGCAGTGGCTTTTTTCATTCCCTCAGCCAGGGAACAGGCTTCCCCTGTAGGAGCTACCAGAAATGGGGTCTCTTCCTACAGTCTGCCTTAATGGGTCTATGAGGTGCTCAGCATTCATCGAATCATCTAGGTTGGAAGAGACCCTTGGGATCATCGAGTCCAACCATCTCCCCTACACCATGTCCCTCAGCACTGCATCTAAACGGCCCTTAAACACAGCCAGGGATGGGGACTCCACTCCCTCCCTGGGCAGCCTGTTCCAATGCCCGACCACTCTTTTGGTGAAAAATTCTTTCCTAATGTTCAATCTAAACCTGCCCTGTTGGAGCTTGAAGCCATTCCCCCAGAAGAACAGGGGATTCCTCCCTGCCCCTCACCAGCCACCGTGGCACTGCCTGCAGCCCAACTTTAGTGCTGCAATCTCCTGGTGTTTGCCTTTTAAAACGAGGCTTCTCTTTGCTCCTCCTGTATTTCTGCCTGAGGCCAGGACGGGGCAGCAGCAGCAGAGCCCGAACCAGCACAACCCTTACAAGTTTCCCCAGCTTTTAATGGAGAAGCAGAATTCTGCTGCTAGAACTGGGCTCTCTCTCAGGTCACCGAGCTGGGTGACAGCAAACTGCCACCAACAACCAAGTTCAGTAACACAGCTACTCTGCAACAGCTCAACTTTTACTCCAGCTGGCACTAGCAGATTAGTATTGGTAACTAAAAAAATAAGATCAAAAAAAAAAAAAAACTAGAGAGCAGCTTTGCTCTTCCTAAGACACCCTCCTGGTACATCCCGGCTGCTCCCACCCCCCTCAGGGATGGCTGGGCAGCCTCAGCTACACACAGACCACCCGGCCACTGCCTTCTGTCCCAGAGCACTGGCACCATCCCTGCCCAGCCCCGTCACCCACCGAGGTGGAATGGACTCTCCCCACCTTCAAACAGCTTTTGTTATGCGTTGGTTACAAATGGGGGCAGGGAGGGAAAGGGGGACAAGGAGGGCAATCTATATGGGCAGGCTCCCTTATGGAAACCAGACTAAAAGCCAACGTCAGTCACTGCCACATCCCCATGACTTGCACCCAGCTGTGAAAGACGAGGGGGGACACTGTCTCTGGAATAAGCTGGTCTGAAAAGAGGCAGCCCTCCCCTGCCCAGGCAGGAAGAGCCCAGGAACACAGAGGGTCCCACGCAGCAAGACCCAGCTCCTGTGGTTTCTGCAGGAGTCACGCTCCCACCATCCACTACTCCAAAGCCTCTGTCCCTCACCCCCAGGCTTCAGCACACGCTGCTTCACACACAGTAGGAGAGCAGAGAAATAAAGCTCCATGAAGGCCTTTTTAAGAGAATTTTATTTGAGTGGTTCTTACAAAGATTGTTGCAATATGAAAGTCTTTGTTTGATAGAAATATCAAGCTGTCTTGTCAAACACACTGAAGTAACCCAAAAATATATTTCAGAGCTCACAGAGCTTAAAAAGAGCAAAGATTATATGCAACCAGAACAAAACACGTTTCTGTATTTCCTTCTGATTTTCAGACTTGGCTGAAATCCTTTACCTGTGCCCCGCTGCATACACAGAAACTTATCTGGAAATGCAGAGATCGTTTTGTTTGGAAACTTAGACACACCTCACACAGTATTTACAAAGAAACTTTTACAGATACATTAATCAAAAGTTACCATCAAGAAATAAAACCCTTCAATCTTTCTAGTCTTACCAATTATTCATCAGAAAGCAAGCTGAGGGGCTGTCTAGAGTCAGCTTTCAGTAGCCTTTTGAATTTTCCATTTATACAAAACACTAAATATGTCCCTTCATAAAGTCTATCTCTGATATTAACCTTGAGCAGATCACCTACATTTAGTGAAATGTAAAATGTAATTGCTGCATTAAAAGAAAGGCTTGTGAAACATTAAAAATGTCATTATGTCCCATCTGCCTTTTACAGAGAACTTGTTTTCTATGAGCTACTTCTCAGTTCCTACAGATCACCTCAGTAAATGTACAAGAATTACAAGGCAGAACAAGAAGTCAACAGCTTTGTATACAGTGGAAATGCTAGTTAGGGAGAATGAACACACTGCATTTCTGCTTACTTCATTTTATTTTTAAAGGTAGCAGGAAGTGTACACAAAATGACATTAAATCCTTTCCTTTAGTTTTATCTAAATAAAAGATAACTCAATCTTCCTCCAAAAAATAACTATGTACAAAACTGACTAAATCCATCTTCATCGTCGAACAGGAACCAGTAGCTGGGTTGCAGTCATAGAATCTGGGAAAAGGCTATGGTACGTCGGAAGAGGTACATACGCTGCTGTAATCATTTTACCTGAACAAAAGATTGAAAAGAAAATTAAAAAAAAAATCAGTACATGGTTATTTCGGTAATTAATGAATAAATGTAGGTCTGTACACGAAACCCACTCACCTGCAAACCACCGCCCGTGCAACGCATTTACAGCTGCAATGGCCGCAGCGATGGAAGGACATTTGACATAGACGTTGCCCTGTAATACACAAGTGTTACGGCCGGTTAGAAGCCTGAGAAACGCCCCACGTTGTCTCAAGACACTTCCTTGGTGCAGCTGTGCCAGAGGCAGGGCCTCGCCGTGTTCCTACTGGGACCCACCGCCAACGCAGGATGGGTGTGAGGGAACGGAGCAGTGGACAGTGTTTCACTGACCTGCGCCGCCCAACTCTAACAGGGACCTTTGTGTTAATTCTAAGTAGGATTTTGCAAAACAGACCAAACCTGAGCTTGATCTGAAATCAACAACTTACTCTCTTTGAAGGGTTATCAAGAGTATCTAATGGTCCTTGGTTATAAATGTCACCAGGAGTTCAGCTGCAGCCCCTGCAGCTTACCCCTTTGACCACCAATGCTTAACTGGATACCCAAGTTCAGTCTGCTTTGCAAAGGGATGAAGCACCCCCCGTTCCCAGGGGCAGGAGGGACGTCTGGCACTTCAAGGTCACTGGTACCATGAAAATTCTCTTTCTTGAACTTCAGCGTCTGCCTGTCTTTACTCGATCAAGGACTGAGAGGAAAGGAAAAAAAACCCCTCACAGCAGGGCAAGAAGAGCCTAAGATAGTATGTAACAGGAATGACAGATTGATCTTTTAAATTTGCCAGATACACCTCAAGTATTCTATCTGCAAATTAAGCACTAAATCAGCCTGATCCAGAGCACTGCAATATTCACACTCAGCAACTGCAAGACACACAGACGCCCACAGTAATGTGGATGCGTTTTTCTGGCTGCCTGCTTAAAAATAGAATACTCCCAGCAATTCTTGAACCAGCTCAGACTCCAGCTGAAAGAGGCTGTACAGGAAAGGAAGAAAAAGAATCCCTTTACCAGCCTTTGCAAGCCAGTACTATCTCTTTCCACTGTGATCTGACTCATTCCTTCTCAGGGGGGAAACTTGAGCTCAGGGACTGAAGTTTACTGCACTGAGCAATTAACACACACAGTTGTTTTCTCAGCTGCCCCCGCACAGGCACCTGAGCTGCTCAAGCATTAACACAAGATACAGCAACACAAAGCTTTAGTTTTCCTTGACACATCCCAGAGTGGACTGGCCTGGTGCTGTACACAAGACCACGTGTTCAGTTGGGACTTCTCACCCACAACAGATCACATCTTCCTGGCTGACAACTGACTGCCCTCAGCCTGGGAAGTCAGGCTGGATGGGCAAGAGACTAAATAGACAGGAGATGAAAACACTTAGAACGTGACCAGAACCTAGGCCAGGAACACAGAACAGCACAGTGGAAACGTACGTTCAAATATATTATTTTTAAATATCAGTGGGTGTTCAATATCTGGGTCATCACTGTGCTACTGTGATCAAATGAATTTCATGTAACAAACCCCTGACTCCTGATGCAGTAGCTGCAGTTTTAAATTTTAAATCTACTTGCTAACATAACCAGATTTGCAGCTCTATGTGCTTGGACCCTACACCAGGGATGTTGAGGGCTGTTGCCCCTTTTTTGCGGTTTAGAGGTGGTCATTTCTTGGGGTCTATGTGTTGGTTTTTTTGGCGGTGGTGGTTTTTACTCATCTGTTAAAGGAAACTTTGTTTTCTCTAAGATATTAATATAATATACTGTGGGAGAAGTTTCTACCTTCCAGTAGCCCAACCCAGCAGTGATGCTGATGACAAAACGCTGTATGGTGGTTTATGTACCAGACTGCAGCTCATCTCTAATTTAACATCTCAGTAATCCACATGAAATGGTTTTAGGTGACAAGAGTCTTCTATAGAAGCAGCACAACGATAACAAAGGTTTGTGAGTGCCAAGTGCATTACCAGGGCAGAACGATCCCATCTAAGCAATACTGACATGGACACTGGTGTGCATTCCAGCCTGGCACAATGGAATGACACCCAACAGGACACTACAGGGTCTGATAGTTAGAAATTTATCTATGAAACTGTTTGAAAACTGGACTTCAGTTTGGGTTGTGAATTCTATATTAAAGGGGTTCAAGAAGGCCAAATACCTTTACAGACCTTCCACAGTTTATATTCCAAAAGCCAAAACACAGGGGAAGAGATAACCAGCCTGGAGATTGAGTGAACAAAGTGAACACAGAAGAAAAATGTATTAGCCTTTTTAACACTCAGGCTGAGAGTCCCTCAAACAGGCACTAACCTGTTTTAAGTCTGCATCAGTAGCCCCTTTTCTCCTCCCTGTTATAACTCTAGGTACTCCTATTGCCCCCACTGCAAGACTTTAACATCACTAGTGAACACAGCTGTGTCCAAGCGTGGGGTTAGGCACACACTTCCCTGCACATCTCCCACCTGCTGGAGCAGTGTGTTCTTTGTGCTAAAGCCTGTATTCTCTAGAAACAGAGGAAACTGGAAGTCCCTGGCTTTTGGGAAATGCACAGCTTATGGGAAAAGCCAAATGCCAGAATTAAAGAGGTCACTACTCTTCAGCCTGCATTTCCCCAGTAACTCAGCTGTCTAAATCTGTAAGAGCAGACTGCAGCACCAGAGAACTGCTCTCGTACCGATATTCCAGTTACACACAGTGACTCAAAACAGGAACCAAATACATCCTGCAAAGCTGCAAGTAACTTCAAGAAATTTAGATTCAGTCTAGGAAAAAAAAATAGTGTTTGTAATGCTCCCTCTATACGCCGCAAAGCAACAAAACTCCTAAGACCTGCTCAGTGTCTCTTTAGAACTAGGCATACCTGAGCTGAATTTTTGTCTACATAGATGTGGATAACTCCTCCGTGTTTGTTACATTCCTCAATCACATCATCTTTAATTTCAGTATCCCAGCCAGCTTCTTCTTCACTGTAGGAGATGGAGGAAGAATAGGACAGTGATGAAATTGTTATCACTCGGACAAAATCCACCCCAAAAGCTATCAAAAAGACCTCTGCAACATACCGATTCCTTTCTCAGTCATCAACAAATACCACACAGACAATGATAAATCACTTACGTTTGAGGATTAAACATGTTGGAAAGCTGGAAGCACTGTGTTGCAAGTGGTTGTACAGAAGCAGCTGCAGCCAGAACTGTTGTAATGGAAAAAAACAGTAACAAATCTAAGAACTTGCTATGCATTGCTCCAATTTAAATGAGTGTTTTCTATCTATTCTTCAAAATCCCAGTATCCAGCAATAACAGCAACAGTTCTAACAACAAAATTGAAGACAGGAAAGCCAAACTCATTACTAGACACTATCTATGACAGAAAATAACTCAGAGGAACTACAGTTGAAACTGAAAATAACCCTGAACATTGGTTTTGGCAGATTTTCATTTTAAATATTTAAATGCAGATGTGTATGCCTTCACATGTGTCTAAAAATCCTGAGTGATATGCCAGCAGCACCTCCACTGCAGGATGGAGTGGGACCACCCCATCTGAAGTGACAGACAACTTTGAGAATTCTCAAAATGTATTTTAAGCATGTTGAATTATCCTTCAAAAAATATATATGCCCACTTTTGTCCCTTGGAAATACATAACACAGGAAATATTTGACAACTCAAATTATTATGTTTTAACTGTACAATAATCTATGCTGTTTCCCAGTAACTACCAAATTATTACTTGTCATTTATTGTTGCTCATAAACACAGTACATCTCATTAAAGATAAGCACTATCCTAAAGGCCTTTTCCCTAGGCTTTAAGCTTCTGTTAATTTAGCTGAAATAATGGCCACCTTCTTTTACATATGCAGACAAGAGGGGCTGCACAGTCAGAGTAAATGATGACTAATCCAGGGAGAGTAATCCCAAACTCCTGATTTGCAAATGACCCTCCTAGTCCCTACCTCTAAGGAGGAAAAACCCCACACCCAACCACACCTAACCCACAAATGAAAACACAAACCCACACATTTTCTAGGACTACCACATGGCTGGGGAACGTTACCAGCATTGAGGAAATGCTACAAAGAAAAGTTGAAACGTTTAACATACATTGTTATTTTCAGTGAATAATAATCAATACACAGTATGATTCCTACAGGCACTACATATGATTTCTCAGGCTGCTGACACACTCTAAACCCAAAGCATTTCACTTGAGGACATATGCAACAAAACCTACTGGTGACAAGTTAAATCAAATGCCAGTTTACCTTCATTCTGCTGAGATAGTCTTGTTTGCAAATCTAAAGAAAAATATACAGAAGTTAATTAGTATGCTTGCTAGCACTACTGTATCATTACCTGCAGGCCAGGATCTTTAGCTTCTATTTTAGTGGTTAAGAGCATCTCAACCCACTCTCACTGTTCCTCTCTAGTTGTGAGTAGCTGCATTCATTTCAGCTTCTCAGCTGGAATACTCTGTACTTGATAGAGATTCCACTACCACAAAGGAAAGCGTATTTCCAAGAGAAACAACACCTTAAAAGGAAAGACATGACCATGTCCTCTACATCAATGTACTGTTTGCACCTTGCCTTTGCTATGCTTGAACTCTTTGTATTTGTTCCATGAGAAAATAATTACCACAATTTTTACAGGCACTAGGATTTTGGCATCTTTACTAACAGAAAGCATTTAAGCACAATTATCCAAGTGTAACATTCTGAAAGCAGCTATCAAATTTAATTTTAAGGAGAATAAGGTGATATTTTACCTGTTATCTTTTCATGAAAGTGTCATTATGACAAGTTACTTTAGTATTTTTCATATTCAAAACATTTTCAAGTATTCAGAAAAAATTGCCAAGAAAGTACTAATTATTTGTTTAATAACATACAGATTTCCCAATTTTAAGTAATGAGAACAGGCAAACACAGCCTTTCTAACCATTTCCATCTATGACTCCAATGCTCAACATTTCTAGACCAACAAAAAACTTCAGAATACCAGAAATGTAAGCATAAGCCTCTTCATTTATGTTCCAATTTAATTCACACAAAAGCAAGGAGTCAGAAGACTGAAGTTAACACTCATCTTAATTCACTCGTTTAGAAAGCAGTCAAGTGATGGACCCCAAGCAATCTTCCAAGGTCACTTGCAAACACCTGATGGTATCAGGTATCAACATACTTTTTTCCCTTTCTAATAAAACCTCCTCCACAGCACTGGGGGACCAAGTATTAAGTAGCGAGAGCCCCAAAGAGAAGTATCCCTCAGTTGCCTTCCACGTGACTTCCACAGAAGAACACATACTGGGAACCACACTGAAAAATAAGATGGAAGGAGCAAGCTCTGGAGGTTGAGCTGCAACAAGAACTGGCTACATGTAGCTTGTTTTCTATGTGCACCTGAACACAATCCTCAGCTCCATAACAGGAAAGACTCTCTTCACCTGTATTCTCTGCTGTAACTAACCACCTAGTTAATTACTACCCCAACCTTTTGTTAACAATTGTGGGGTTCTTTTTAAAAAATAACCCCCCAAATCTCTTAAATTAAATCACTCCAGTTAAATGAGGACAGTGACTCCTCCCTCTGCAATTCTGACACAACTGCACATCACGCAGAGCTGAACTCCCACTCGTCAGGAAGCCCGGGCTCTGCAGCCCAATGCTCCAGACGTGCCAAATCCACACACATCACCCTTTAAATTCCATTTAGGGCCGAGAGTCAGTTCTCTTCCAGACAGATCAGCTAACAGGATCTTGTGGCAACAGGTTTCACGGGTTAATTATCTACCACCTCTGAAACATGACACTCCCTCCCCTATCCATCAAATCTTTCATCAACTCATTGAATTTTCTGGTTCCTTGTGGTTGAAGAATGGTCCTCTCCTCTCATTTCTAAATTCACTCAGAAGTTAGAAATTCATTGTCACGCTTCACTGTCAAGTCTTATTCTTCCCTACGTGCAGTTTTAAATAGCATGTGGAAACTAAAATACATCTGTAAAGTTAAGAACCTTTTCTGTATGTTTGGTATACGTATCTGTAAGAATAGCAAGTTTAGCATGAGTAAGAAGTACATGCTTAGTACAGAAAAAGCAGAAATACAGAAATAGATACATAATAGGTGCTATATTAATATATTAACATATAATTGTTATAATATATAATATCAACACATTTTGTACTTCAAAATAAAATGAAGTTGCATGTTTATTTTGAAACACAGCTTTAAATAAACAGAAGCCTGCCAAGTATTCCCCAGTTTTTTAACTAATTACTTGCAGCAGAATAGCAGATCAAATCGAGGTCCTGGATGGTGACACCTATTTGCCCCTCCATCACAGCACACTGTCTCAATCTTTTTCAGAAACAGAGAGCTCATTCCCAAAAGTAAGGAAATGTTTTGTCCCAAAAATCATTAGAACAATGTTCTGTAGGCTCATGAATATTTCGATTTCAGACAGAATTTACTAGAAAAGAGAAAGTACACAGCTAGAACTGCTTTGCTTAAACTCTTTTTCCTGCTGGAATTTTCTGCATAGGAATAATGTCCAAGTTCTCAGGTTTCCCATAAAAATAATTCTTTAGCTTCCCTATTTTAGTTTGATTCAACCCATCTTGAACATGGGTAACCAAAACTGTTCAGGAATGTGTAGGCAGCATCTCAGATGCTCCAGTATGCTAACACTAGGAACACACTGCCCTTTCAAAAACGCATCACACTGACAGTTCCTATTCCCTCACAGATAAGCTGGAGTACTTAGATATTTTGCTCCTCCTTGGCCATCTTTCACTGCTAACCTCCCAGGCTGCAGCACTAGAACTTGTTTCAATCCTGAACAGGTGAACAATTAACACCCTAACAGTCCCTTACAGACAGCACCTCTGTATTTACTCACCTCACTCCTATTCTTGTTGACCATTGTTATTCATGTATGTATTAAACAAGATCAGCCCAACACCTCAAGTTTGGCTTCAACAAGAGTCTCTAACCTTTCCAGTTTTCACCTGAAAAAAAAATCCCCCTTTCTTTCAGCCAGCTTCTTTACCTACTGGATTTCCTGTACTACCCACTTCTCTAGTTTGGTAACTCCCAAATGACACAAGTCAAAAGTTCAGAGGGAAGAGATCTACTACTGCTCCTCTGTCCAGGAAAGTCAGTTTTATAAAAGATTGTCTTTAAATGCCGTTTCTGTGAAAGTATGCTGTCCTTTAATACAGTTTAATACTTGTCCTTTAATACCAGTCCTTTAATACTGTCCTTTAATACCAGTTTACCCTTCAGTATGACTTGTGAAGGAGAGAAGTGAACTCAAGAGAAACAGGACTGGAAACCAGCCCAATTATGTTCTTCTTCCTTCCTTTTAAGTGTAGGTAATTTAGAATTAGATGTTCCAACTATATATTGTATCACAGATTTAAAATATTTATTGACAATACCAGATATCAGACCTCGTATTTCATGTATCTGTTCCCTCACTAATTTGATGAGAATTTTCTTACTTCTCTGAACTGAGTACATTCAGCTCTTACTTTTAACTTTGCCTTGTGAATAATTTTCTTTTTTTTTAATTCATATTCTTATCTTACCTTCCTCCAATTCCAAACTTTATGACCAGTGTCCCCACTACAAACTGAGGTCACAAGATTCTTTTGAAACATCTTGTATTTTTTCATTCAACCTCAGCCCCACTTCCTTTTGTTCTCTACAGGAACTGTAAATCTTCAGCTGCACTTTTACAAGGTCTAACTCAATCTGACTGTTGGCAGGTAATTCTTGTTTTATCTATTTCCCAAACAAACTACTGTTTAATCATCAGTCCTTTTTTCTGTTCTTCATAGGCTCTGTGCTTATTCCTTATTTCTTTTGAGGCAGCTAATCACCCGGTTCGGTGTGGAGCCTGTTTTTAACAGGCCTGTTCCTTCTGTGGAATACAGATCCAATAGAGCATTAGCAATTTGGAACTGAAGAAACTTTTTACATCCTGCCTGTTCAAACACCCACACTGCTTAGACGAGATTACTTTATCGCCTTGTTTCTTCAACCACAGCTTTTGAAATCAGAAGCCTTAGTTACAGACTTGTTTTGTTTATCCTTCCATTTAAACTTGAGCAACTCATGATCCCAAGTCAATGGTCATTTCTATTCTCATCCATAACATCTTCATTACTTACCAAATTGAGTTTAAAATAGCATCCCCTCTTCGTGAGTCTGAGTGTTTGATGAAGAAATTTGTCGGATATCACATCCAGGAATATCTGGGCCCCACCATTATTACTAGCAATTCTTCTCCAATCTGTATCAGGGAAGTTAAAGTCTCCCATAATGACATAATTCCTGGTAGTAATTTTCTCTAGCAAGAGTAAAGAGACCTTTAATCCATAACCAAATCTCACTTTGGGGATAGCTCATGACTATGGTAGTAAAAAGCTTTATCTTTTTCCAAAGTTACTTAAGTAGCACGTCTGCATTATTCCTTTTGTACAACAGAAGTGGAGTAAACAATGCTACCCCTACCACTTTTATTTCTACAGTTACTAAACATGCACAATATTCAAAAACCTGTTTTCAGTCTCAGTACTTCTTCCTCCACAGACATGTTTTCTCATACTGATTCCATGCTATCCTAACAGTTCAGGTATGTGAGATATTTTTCACATATTCCTGACTTGTGGAATTTTCATTTCTTTAGCTTGTTTCAAATATGGGGGTGGGAAACGATTGGGGTTTTCAAAATGTATTTCTTTTATTTCTCATTGACTACACCTGTTTCCAAGCAAGACTGTCACACCACTTTATCACCTATGTTAAAGGTGATCTAATTTTAGAGTTACCTTTCCTTCTCTTTCTGGACTACATAGACTTTTTTTCTTACCACTGTCTTTTTCATCTTTTTCTTATCAGATTGAGAAAAAAAACCTTATTCCACAACCCACATTTCTCTTTCACTAGCCAGGTCCTTTTCCTTCCAAGGGTTTATCTGTAGAAAGACCTTATTATATTCTTTTAGAAACTGCCTACAGTTTCATGTGTATGCTCTTCTCAGAACAGCACCTGAACTTCAGTAACATGATTCAGATATGTCTTAAGTCTGAATCACTTCTGTTCCAAACTCTGCAGGGAGACAAACAGAACAATGCCATCTATTCTTTGTTGATTTCCTGACACTTCTCACACATTCCAACATCTAGTTATTTGCAATATTCAAGTCTTTTCTACTGCTATGACAGCTTCATGCCCTTTGTTCTTCTATTAATAAAAATATATCATGAAATTCCACTCTGTAAATTCCCAGTCTCCTGCAGGAGGTTGGTTACTCGTTGCTCCAGTTCTGAAGACCTCTTGAACAGTCTGTTGTTTAGGGCAGCTATGAACTAGCAGCAGCAACTCTATCCTCAGCCTCATTCCCTCTCACAGCAAAATAAAATCCCTGCAACACTTCCAACATACCCACTTGCAGAACACACAAACTATAGGCAATTCCAAGCAACACGCAAATTCCCCGATGTACAGTGTCCTTCCTCACCAAGATATCACTATGTAAACCTGACATTACTGCAGGCTTAGTTGCCGTGTCCCCCATGAAGTCCTAAGAACCTTCTTGTCCCTAGTACACCTCAGTTTTTTTCAGAAGGGTCAATTGCCTTCTAATTATGAGCCTGCCATTTTTAACAGTCAACATTTACACTGCAGTAGAACATAGAAGTCCCCATTAGTACAGGGAATAGTAAAGATAGAGATGAAGGCTTGGGATGAATTAAGTCAACTGTAATAGAATTGCCAAAAATAATGCAAAGCAAACCATGCCCATCGAAACTGTCATATACTGTTACTGTTCATTTGCTCATGGATTTGCAAAGTTTTACAGTTTGTAAAACATGCTGGAATACCTTTATTCTCATTTTAAAAGATCACAAAATGCAGTTAAGCACCTCTTCTCAAAATTATATAGCATAAAGTATTTTTGAAAAATAAACAGGTCATCATTTCTTACCTGCCACAGCTCCAAATGCCAAAGATCCGCTCATCTGCAGAGCCTGCTGTGCGGCCGGGGGTATCTGCAGACCAGTACCTACAACAGAAGATGAACACACCTTGTAGCAAGCACTTCTCACTCTGTTAGGGATGCAGTAACACAAGTACCAGAAATGTTACTGTTCAAAAGCTTAAGAATATCATTCCATGCATTTAGTGTAATGTTCTGTGGGGTATATGAATACAAATTCTGTCAACTTCTGTGTTTTCACACATTTCTAATTAATGATCACACATACCTTCTGCAAGTCTTGCCATCAATTGAAGGCGACCAGTTGTTCCCAAGTCAATTCCAGTCCGCTCCAGTTCATCACTGTCCAAAAATGAACTAGCACTGGAAGCATCAGTGCGCTCAGTTACATGTCCAACTTTCATTGGCCTACCAGCCAGCTCAAATCCGTTCAGTTGTTCCAAGGCCTTTTTGGCACATTCAGAGTCTGAGAACTGTAGATTGGAAAAATACAAATTCAGTAACACTGCCTCCAGGATCCAGCAACATTTCTACTGTATGCAACATCCAGAGTTATGTAAACATAAGAAACATGACATTCAAGTTAACAGTCCCTACAAGCTGACTTACATGTGCTCTGTATTTTCAATTGAATCTGAACACACACAAGTTTGGATATTTCTCATAAGAATATACTTAAATACATTAGCATTGAAACTAGAGCATCTAGGTATTTCAATCAACAGAAGTCATGGCTTCAGTTCTCTTTCAACACTTTCCAAGAATGACAGTCACTTCCTTTGTAACCCTGTAACTGCTGTGCATTTACTAACAGATGTTCTGCTTTATGCTGTGTAACATCTAATTAAAAATATAAGTATTTTCTCAGTGTTAAAACTATCAAATATTAGCTATAAAGTTAGTTTGGTTTCATTTGTCTCCAAGTGCCACAGGTCCTAGATGAGACTTCCCCCCCGCCATGACAAATTTCCAGGTCAGTCAAGAAACCCAAGTTCACAGAATTATGGATCTGAGGGTAAAGAGGAAAGATGTTTTCAAGTGAAAGCTTTAGTCTCTAAAATTTTATTTCCCCTAAAAACCTCAAATTTAATTATTTTCATAGCACTGTGAAAGTGCCAGTCTTTACTAGTATCTTTGCCTGCAGAAGACAGCACTGCTTTACCAGGTACTGACCAAAAACTATACTAAACGTGTGCATTGTTCAACCACAATACCCACAGAGAACTGGCAGAAACAAAGAAAAAGGCCATTGCTGCATATCCTGCAACATGTTATCTCTAGAATTAACCAAGATTGCTGAGTAAGTTATACTACTACATGGGAGGGTTACACTCAAATTGTCTACGAAGTCTGGCCAAGTGTAGTCATACCGTAATAAATCCATATCCTTTTGAGCGTCCAGTTTCACTATCCATCATCAGCTGAATGCTTTCAATCTAAAAATAAGAATGAAGCTATTTATTATCAGACATTTTGGAATAAACCGCTAGATATGAAAACAAAACCTGAATACAGTCCTGCCAAATATAAGTATATAAATGCACACCCACTTTTTTTTTTTTTCAAGTCAGTTCTTCATTCCTTCCTCAAGTCAAAATTAGTACAGGCAGCTACATACGTACTTTGATACTAAACCAGAAGCGAGTAAACATAATGGTGATGTACAATTTATCCTTTGAGTCCAGCCACATGCAGAGGCTTGGTCCCAATGCAACAGTCTAGCAGACAATGAGCATGCAGACATCATCAAACCCTAACTGAAACACTATAGTTACAGCATATCAAACAGAGAAAACTCCATTTTACAGAGTAAGACCAGCAGTTTGCATTACTTTGACTCAGGGGCTTTAAAAAAAATGGTAGGCCAGTAGTTATTTAAAATATGTACGAGAACTCCTAGAAGTTTACAGTTACTGAATTTAATGTAAATCATTAATTCATTTAAATTAGTAAGTCAACCATGAGCTATAAAACAGTGTCAGCAACACACCAGTAACAGAAGAACTGAGTTTAAGACTGAAGTATATGGAATCAGGAGAAGGAAAAACTTTCACAGCTCTACATGTAAGCCTCCTAAACTACATTAATCCCCCTGCCAGACCTTGAGAGAACACAAAACCAGAACAGCTATGTGGATTAAAATTTAATAAATTGCTGCAATTTTCCAGGCTTTTGCACAACAGAATTAAGGGGATACACAAACTGAATAGCACTATTACAGTATGTATGAGGCAGGTTAATATCCAAAGACAGTACCTTTTTTTTATTATTATTTTTTCCATTTAGCAGCATATTTAGTATATTACTTTTTTCCTATCTATGACACCTTAGCACAGTAGGGCTAACATCTATTATGACTCCACGAGAAACTAGGTTCTACCTGCTCACTTTCAAAACTCTCTACAAAAAAATACTGCCTCAAACTGGGGAGTTACAATGAGGAGTGAAAAGGGGCCTGTGTCAGAGCTGTATGGGACACTGCTAGTTTATGGCAGCAACATGAGCTGAAACTCCCACAAAAAGCTGAAACTACTACACTCACAGTGAACACAGCTTGGACTTGATTCTGTACGTTGGGCCTTAACACATTCACAATCACACTGCAGGGGGTGAGGGGGAGCGGACAGGGGAGATATTTACAAGCTGCAGAAGGAAGATCTAAGGTAAAGATTTGGGGGTTGGTGGTTTTTTTGTTGTTTCATAATTTTAGGTACCCTCAGAAGACCTGCCATTCAAAAATCACCGGACTGTATCACAAATCAAGGTTCTCATTTTTTCTCCAATTTTAACTAGGTATCTAAAGCCTTCTGGATGTAACAGCCACAGAAGAACGAGAAAAAGAAAGATAAGTTTTGCAGGTGTGAAGCTGAATTATTTCCATAAACGGTGAGTGTTCTACATTTGCTTTTCAGCTAAACTATCGTAACACAACACACCAAATTAAAACTTACCCTGCCAAACGGCTCAAAAATTCCTCGAAGCATATCTTCAGTTATGTTGAAGTGTAAGGATCCCACATAGAGCCTCATAGGACCAGCACTGCCCTTCTGCAGATTATTTGCCATTGCTGCTGCTCTGTTTTTCTCTGCCTAAGAACAGGAAAAAACAAACTCACTTTCTGTAAGAATTTAATTAAAAAACCCTAACATAAGCAGTATACATCTACCACATTAAAATCAGTAAATTCACCAAAAAATACAAGCTGTTCAATGAGCAGCATGCAGATTATAAAATTTTAACATAGAAATATATGAAATCCAAGACCGTAACCAAGTATAGAGACACAGCTTCCAAAAGCCTTTAAGATAGAACAAGTTCATGCAGAATTCTGGCTTGTATCCAGTAAATTAACATGTTACTTTTTACATATACGCAAAAGCATACATAATACATATGGTAATTCTGTAACATTATTAGAGTTTCATTGTTACTACTTTCTTAACATCTGTATATTCAAAATGCATTTATATCACTTGGATTGTTTTAATTTGCCTGTCAACTATGGGAAACAAAGGTCCATTTCTAATTAGCTTACTGTTAAGATTTTCCAAAAATTCAATGGTAACTACATTTTCAAAGGCTAAATTTTCCAGCAAGATAAAAGAGGCACCACTCAACATAGATAAAAACAAGATTTACAGCTCCTTACCTGTGATGCCTGTACTATGATGGGTACACCCAAGACTCTCTGCCCAGTCAGTCCTATTGCCAGAGGCACTGAACTAACATCAACAAATTCTACATAAGCAATTCCCTTTGAGCGCCTGGAATTTCTATCTGAAATCATTCGCACATCACGAACCTGAAAGGCAAGTATAGAAATGCTGTTAGAGACAAAGGAAAAGAACTAATGCAGTCCATTTCTCAGAACAGTATTAATAAACAGACAATTATTTGACAAGCCAGTGGCTTTGCAATTATGCTGCAAATCTAGAGTAGCATAAAGCTGTGTTAACAAACATCCCAGAGGGAAGCTGGCATTAAAAGCTGCCCAAAGTCAAACATAGTATGCTACCGGGACAGCAGCTAGAGAATTTTGCAGCACTGTGATGCTTCAAGCCAGAATCTTGCAGCTGATGGAACAAAAAGTTTTTCAAAATTGAAAGTTAAACAAATTTTTAAACTACAATGTAACTGGCAGACCTATCTGCTAAAGACTGAAACTTCTGAAAAATGAAGTTGTTTGTATCAGAACTGTGTTGCTATGTTGTGCATCACATCACATGCTGAACAATGAACTCCTGATAAATTACGGTTTTATGTTCAGAGCCGTTAAGAATTAGTTTCACCTGTATACAAGCTCCAGAAGGTCACTTTCTTACAATTCTGCTGAGTATCAATCATGTACAGCTTGAAGTATTCAGAAACATTTTAGTCTCCCTATTAATTACCTTCCCTACTGTAGAAAAAAATTCTTCCAGGTCTCTCGGTCGAATTCTTGCAGCCAGCTGCATGCAGAATACTGTTCGAGCATCCCTCTCTTCAGGGGTGAGATTATCAATAGGTTCTCTGGAAAGAGAAAAGTTCAGTTAAAAAATAATCTGAATTAAGATTAACTTATCACTGGACAATGCATGAAACTTTAATCAGTACTTCAAAGTCTGATGGGGAAAAAACGCCTTCCATATTAAAAAGGCATGGTCAAGAACTGAAATAATAATAATATTTACTTCTTTAACACAATTAAACATACTGTTTCAACTGTAAGCATTAAATATGACTGGAAAATTGTACTTTAATTACAGAAGCTCCAACTAAAGAGAAGTGCCATTCTGTTACTATCCAGAACAGGTAACAGGACCAGTAGGTAGTCTGTAGTCAAAAAGATGAGATGAAATGACAGGAAAACAAAGGAAAACAGCATTAATCAGCAAAGACCAACTGTCTGAACTCTCATACAAGTAGCACGAACTTTTTTTTTTGTGGCTCTGCAAATTAAAAATCTTACATCTACCCAGTCACTTCAGAGTCACTACAGCCACCACATAAATACTGACATCTATACAAATAGAATTCTCAGTCCTCATTTTATAGTTTCAGCTTGTTAACAAAAAAAAAAAAAAGTATTTTTGGGTTTAAAGCACGCAAAAAGTAAAAAAGTATGAACAGTGAATAATTACTCTCATCCTTGACAACAGAAGCACTAGATTAATTTTATTTCAATACTGATCACTAGCTGAAATTAGATGCATCACTTTTAAGGAGTTAAATCTTCAAATGCAAAAAAGTCTGAATTGTATTTAAGTACAGAACAGAATTAGCATGTTGGACCCTGGATTGAGTTTCCCAGTCATGTAAGATGTATTTAAATTTTATAAGTATTATAAAAAAATAATCGTTGAGAATATACAATAAAAATTTAAACTAAATTTTCTCAGTAAGAGGTTGCAAATAATTAAACAAGGCAAAGCAAGATTAGTTAAATTTAACTGTATTAAATTAGAGAATAATCTCATTAGCAGCTATCTAAACCCAATTCCTTTAAATGAGAAGCCTAAGAATGAATAAGCACCTTTTGGATTTTAAAGGCATCTGGCTTCTCTACAAATAAAGTTAATACATACTGAATAGGAAGAAAAGCATTTGTACAGTACTTTTTTCCATTCCATATTTAACATTATTAAGTAAGATTTAGCAGAAAAGCTAGCTAATTTAAATCACAATTAACAAGAAAAAAAGATTAAGAATACAGAAACACAAAAAGCAAAGCAAGGCTTGTTTTGCACACCAACGTTATTTACACTTGCACACTGTTATTGGAGTGGGGAGAGCAGTGTATTTTCAACACTCTTGTCACCTGGGCTTTGGGAATGAACACCAGTATTACTTGTGAGTATAAGCTGGAGAGCATGCATTATCATAATCATGCATTATTACATCATTGATTTCCTAACTTCAATCGGACAAAAAAAAAAAAAAAAAGCCCAAACATGTAAAAATTCCTACCTAACAGGGCTCTTGTCTTTTCTGAAGGGACTTTTGCTTCTGGAGCGTCGTCTGCTGTAAAGGGAGATCAACAAGATTGTAAGAAAACCTTCAAATGTAACAGTTTGATTTTAAACAAAACCTATTAATGATGCAATGAAAAGTAGAGAAAACTCAGAAACCTTAATTTTATGCTGTGAGGCAGACCAATCTTCCCTCTGATGGCACTGTTGAATTTTGGACCAGAACTACAACAAAAGCAAAGAGAGACATTACCCACCAGAGTACTGATTTCCTGTTTGTACTCACATCACATTGCCAGTGTTCACCCACCCTCGCACCTCAACTGGTAAACTTTTGCCATTAACAGCACCCTTGGCATGCATAAGCTACGTGCAGCACTCCAAACCCTACAGCACAGAATACGCTCCCTGTTCAGTTTCATCTGCATCGCAAAACTCCCAGAATATGCAGGACTCCAAGAAATGAATCATGAGCCAGCCACACACAGCACATTTGTATGGGTGTTTTCTGAGCTACAGTCACTGCTGTAAACTTTACATTGCTCTTTTGTCCACATGCATACTCTACCTACTATATATACTACATAACTGCAAAGCAGTACCTTAATGGCCTGGAACTCAGCCTCAGGGTTTTGAGCAAAGTGCTGCTGGCAGGACTATTTGCTCAACTGTAACAGTTTAAAACTGAAAGTTTCATTAAATTTAAGGTGCAAGTGGAAACCCAAGTAGCTCCCTGCAGACCTCTGCAAGGGATACATTCACCAATGTTGTCTCAGCCCTAGCCACTGAAGTGCTACGAGTACGTAAATGCCGCTTCTGAAGTTCTCAATGGACATCAAAATACAGAGCCATTTAAAGCCAGCAGTTAACCTTACATAGACATGTCCACCACAGAAGGAATCCAATCTCTTGGCTGAATCTAATTTTAGTTCTCCAGGCTTCACAGAGGCTGCTAGAACAAATGGCAATCTGCCCGGTGCTTCTATGTTAAGGATAGTCCTCTTGCTAGTTCTTGTGGCACAAGGTAACAGACTGTGACATGAACAGTAAGATTCATCCTATCATGTTCTCCCTGAACTTGATCTCCATGTAGATACAAGGCAAAGAACACCACCTGTTAACATTCTTCCTGTATACCTACTCAACGGCAGAGGCACTGCTGCACAGACTAGGGGTTTGTCTTTCCACCTGCACAGAATTGATTCTTTCTGCTGTGGCTATAAATTGAGGTGAAAACGCCCTGAAAGACATGGTAATCTGAAGACATTAGGTAGTCTTTCACTAAATTCATTTAGCCAACCAATTTGTCTGATAAACATCTTGCTACTCAGTGGAACAGTAACGCTTATCATTAAACTCAGCGTCCACAACAAGGAAGAGGATGCCCATTTTTAAACGTGACACTGATGGAAGTAGTGGGCCAAGATCCAAAACCATGCTAGCCAGGTTAAAGCAAGGGAATATGGCCCTGTATAATACTGGGGAAAAAAAATGAAGAGACCATTTAGAAACTACTTATTAAGAGAAAATAAGACAAAGAACAGGCATATGTTGAGATGAGATCATTATTGATCAAAACAGACTTTTTTTTTTCCTAGGACCAATTTACTCCATTTCCTACTCAGGTTCAGACAAAAGAGCACTGAGGGCATCCACTGAGGTTCTCCAGTGTCTGACACACTGCCAGAAGCTGCACCTGGAGATGTCGGTACTAATTCTATTAATTCTGAGTTCTTGTCAGAGATGGGATTACCTTGCATCTTCACACCTCCAGATGCAGAATGTGCTGTTCTCCACTTCAATTCAAATGCAGCAAGACAAGCCAATTACAGTGACTCCAGAATATTAACATGCAGACCAACTAAATGACGGTCAATCATCAAGACCACAAGTGTTTAAGGAAACAGTGAAAGAAATGTTCTAAGCTTTTGTCTAAACCTAGTGAAAAAATACCTGAGAAGATACACAGTAAGTTTTCAAATACAGGCAGAACTTCTGAGAGAAAAAACAAAAACTCAAACACCAACACAACTCCAGAAGTCTTTTTCATTTTGACTCTTGACAAGCAGTATATTATTTACATGACTACATAGGAGAAACATTAAAAGTCTGCAGCAAACCAAAGCCGTAACAGATCACTAGAACAGACTGAGCAGAAAGCTGCCTGGGGCAAGATGATGGCCCAAGTTACCTTCTGAAAATTCTTTTGAAAAAGTATTCTACGAGATGCATTTATTTGTGCTTTTCTAAGGAGACTTACTCGCAGAACTGTAGCTCTCAGGGGAATTTTCTTCTCTCTCCTCCTAATGCCTAAAAACTCTTTGAAATTGTTGCCTGGCTCCTGCTATTATGTACAAAAGCAACAAGGCACAAGCAATTTATGTCTAGGGGTTAATTTCTTCATAAGACAAATGCACTAGGTCCTGTGTACAGCCCAAGCACACCAAGGTGCATGTTTTCTGAAACACACGAGATGTTATATAGCCCAAGTCAAGTCACAAGACAGCCAGTAAATCATTAACATTCACCTGCTCAGTCATTATCCAAGACTCTGCTTCTCCAGTGTTGAGTGGCATACCTCAGAGGTCACCCTCAACAAGTTTGCCCATGACAGCAAGCTGTGTGGAGCAGCCAACACACTGGAAGGAAGGGATGCCATACAGAGGGATCTGGACAGGCTGGAGAGGTGGGCCCGTGTGAACCTCATAAAGTTCAACGAGGCTAAGTGCAAGATCCTGCACATTGGACAGGGCAATCCCAAGAACAAATCCAGGCTGGGCAGAGAACAGACTGAAAGCAGCCCTGAGGAGAAGGACTTGGGGGTGTTGGTGGATGAGAAGCTCAACACGACCCAGCAACGTACACTGGCAGCCCACAAAGCCAATCATATTCTGGGCTCCATCAAAAGAAGTGTGGCCAGCAGGACGAGGGAGGGGGGTTCTGCTCCTCTGCCCTGCTCTGGGGAGACCCCCCTGTAGCGCTGCCTTCAGCTCTGTGGCCATCAACATTTGAAGGACACGGACCTGTTGGAACAGATGCAGCAGAGGGCCACGAAGATGATCCAAGGGCTAGAGCATTCACTGAAGTGCTACGAGTACGTAAATGCCGCTTCTGAAGTTCTCAATGGACATCAAAATACAGAGCCATTTAAAGCCAGCAGTTAACCTTACATAGACATGTCCACCACAGAAGGAATCCAATCTCTTGGCTGAATCTAATTTTAGTTCTCCAGGCTTCACAGAGGCTGCTAGAACAAATGGCAATCTGCCCGGTGCTTCTATGTTAAGGATAGTCCTCTTGCTAGTTCTTGTGGCACAAGGTAACAGACTGTGACATGAACAGTAAGATTCATCCTATCATGTTCTCCCTGAACTTGATCTCCATGTAGATACAAGGCAAAGAACACCACCTGTTAACATTCTTCCTGTATACCTACTCAACGGCAGAGGCACTGCTGCACAGACTGAATACTAGGGGTTTGTCTTTCCACCTGCACAGAATTGATTCTTTCTGCTGTGGCTATAAATTGAGGTGAAAACGCCCTGAAAGACATGGTAATCTGAAGACATTAGGTAGTCTTTCACTAAATTCATTTAGCCAACCAATTTGTCTGATAAACATCTTGCTACTCAGTGGAACAGTAACGCTTATCATTAAACTCAGCGTCCACAACAAGGAAGAGGATGCCCATTTTTAAACGTGACACTGATGGAAGTAGTGGGCCAAGATCCAAAACCATGCTAGCCAGGTTAAAGCAAGGGAATATGGCCCTGTATAATACTGGGGAAAAAAAATGAAGAGACCATTTAGAAACTACTTATTAAGAGAAAATAAGACAAAGAACAGGCATATGTTGAGATGAGATCATTATTGATCAAAACAGACTTTTTTTTTTCCTAGGACCAATTTACTCCATTTCCTACTCAGGTTCAGACAAAAGAGCACTGAGGGCATCCACTGAGGTTCTCCAGTGTCTGACACACTGCCAGAAGCTGCACCTGGAGATGTCGGTACTAATTCTATTAATTCTGAGTTCTTGTCAGAGATGGGATTACCTTGCATCTTCACACCTCCAGATGCAGAATGTGCTGTTCTCCACTTCAATTCAAATGCAGCAAGACAAGCCAATTACAGTGACTCCAGAATATTAACATGCAGACCAACTAAATGACGGTCAATCATCAAGACCACAAGTGTTTAAGGAAACAGTGAAAGAAATGTTCTAAGCTTTTGTCTAAACCTAGTGAAAAAATACCTGAGAAGATACACAGTAAGTTTTCAAATACAGGCAGAACTTCTGAGAGAAAAAACAAAAACTCAAACACCAACACAACTCCAGAAGTCTTTTTCATTTTGACTCTTGACAAGCAGTATATTATTTACATGACTACATAGGAGAAACATTAAAAGTCTGCAGCAAACCAAAGCCGTAACAGATCACTAGAACAGACTGAGCAGAAAGCTGCCTGGGGCAAGATGATGGCCCAAGTTACCTTCTGAAAATTCTTTTGAAAAAGTATTCTACGAGATGCATTTATTTGTGCTTTTCTAAGGAGACTTACTCGCAGAACTGTAGCTCTCAGGGGAATTTTCTTCTCTCTCCTCCTAATGCCTAAAAACTCTTTGAAATTGTTGCCTGGCTCCTGCTATTATGTACAAAAGCAACAAGGCACAAGCAATTTATGTCTAGGGGTTAATTTCTTCATAAGACAAATGCACTAGGTCCTGTGTACAGCCCAAGCACACCAAGGTGCATGTTTTCTGAAACACACGAGATGTTATATAGCCCAAGTCAAGTCACAAGACAGCCAGTAAATCATTAACATTCACCTGCTCAGTCATTATCCAAGACTCTGCTTCTCCAGTGTTGAGTGGCATACCTCAGAGGTCACCCTCAACAAGTTTGCCCATGACAGCAAGCTGTGTGGAGCAGCCAACACACTGGAAGGAAGGGATGCCATACAGAGGGATCTGGACAGGCTGGAGAGGTGGGCCCGTGTGAACCTCATAAAGTTCAACGAGGCTAAGTGCAAGATCCTGCACATTGGACAGGGCAATCCCAAGAACAAATCCAGGCTGGGCAGAGAACAGACTGAAAGCAGCCCTGAGGAGAAGGACTTGGGGGTGTTGGTGGATGAGAAGCTCAACACGACCCAGCAACGTACACTGGCAGCCCACAAAGCCAATCATATTCTGGGCTCCATCAAAAGAAGTGTGGCCAGCAGGACGAGGGAGGGGGGTTCTGCTCCTCTGCCCTGCTCTGGGGAGACCCCCCTGTAGCGCTGCCTTCAGCTCTGTGGCCATCAACATTTGAAGGACACGGACCTGTTGGAACAGATGCAGCAGAGGGCCACGAAGACGATCCAAGGGCTAGAGCATTTCTCCTATGAACACAGGCTGAGAGAGCTGGGGTTGTTCAGCCTGGAGAAGGCTCCAGGGAGACCTTATAGCAGCCTTTCAGTACCTAAAGAAGCCCTATAGAAGAGATGGGGAGGGACTCTTTGAGGGAGTGTAGCAATGAGGGGCAATGGGTGCAAACTGAAAGAGAGGAGATTTAGATTAGGTATTAGGAAGAAATTCTGTGCTGCGAGGGTGGTGAGACCCTGGCCCAGGTTGCCCAGAGAAGCTGTGGCTGCCCCATCCCTGAAGGGGTTCAAGGGCAGGCTGGATGCAGCTTTGGGCAACCTGGTCTGCTGGGAGGTGTCCCTGCCCAGGGCAGGGGGGCTGGAACTCGATGGTCCTTAAAATCCCTTCCAATGCAAACCATTTTATAATTCCAAGAGTCTCAGACAAGGCAAGATTTAGCTAACAAAGTCCAGGAGAATGACAATGTTTCAGTCTCCAGGTGATAACCCCGTTTTCCCAGCAGTTCTGCCCAAATTCTTGGTTCCAGAATAGCAACAGGACAGTCAAGTGACTTCTACTATATTTTAGCAGTAGCTGGGATTTGTCATGCAGATGTGTAAGCAAGAATACCTGGTCAAGTTCTTTCTCTTAAGAGACCTAATAGTATAACTGCAAAACACTTAAGGGGCAAGATATTCAAATAACATTTAAAAAACCCTGTGAGAACAAAGCAACACAAACCAGCCACCCAATTTTAAAAAACTCAAACATTTAATCACTATCTCATGCCTAACGATGACAAAGTCCTCAGGTTCTCTGTGGCACATTCTTCCTTTCCTTCAGAATCACCTGTACTAGACCTTCTCTTCTCACTATTGTGACTTCCACGTCACCATTGGCAGCAAAACATCTAAAATTTAGAGATACTAGCTTTAAAAGGGGCCTTTATAAAGCAAGTAAGAAAGATCACAAAGAGGAGGAAGCGCAAAAGGTAAAAATTTAAAACCAGTTCCTCTCCTCGGAGCGAGAGGTGAGGGACAGCATCTGTCATCCATCATTGGCCAATCCAACCAAACCACAACAGCATTCTAAACCAGACGTTGCAGTCAGCTACAACAACGCCTGCAGTAAAACCAACTCAGAACTGTCTGAACAGCAGCCTCACCAGGTGAGATTCCAGCTTCAAATTCTCCAGCCAGTGAGAGCACTCCGGTAATTACTTTTGAAATGCTAAGCTGATGGCAGTGATACAGAGATGGTTTCTTTATATGGAAGCACCATTTTTGGTAGATCCAAAGGAGGCTGGTGAAAAAGACTTCATCTCCAGAACTTATCTCTCCCTGAAAGTCAAGCATCCCTTACACGGCTTTTAAAGGCGAGTCTCTGTATTTTCCTGAACAGAAAATGAAGAGTTCTCCTTCCTATCTTCTGATGTCCTTCCAACCCAAAACTAGAATTCTGGAATCACACTAGCATGTGTATCACTTCAATAGCATCATCCATGACCTGCAAGTGAACGCCACCCAACTGCTAGCTGCACAATCAGTACCAAGGCTTCTGGGATGCATGTAGTTGCCCTCTAACAGTCTTCCACAAAACCAAAATCCTACTTTGTTAAATGAAAGCAACAATCCACCAACTGAAGCAGAGAACACAATGCTACCAAACCATTAAGTGCAACCTCATATTCTCAGGGGGCACTAGACTATCTTGCTTTTTTTTTTCCATTGTCTCTCAATACCAGAGAAATTGCCCAGAATAGCTATGGAAAAGCATCAGAACAATGAAAAAGACCCCTTACGCTCCTGACATAACATATCTTGATGCATTAAAGCAGGCATGGATTATTGTCCGTACATTCAACCATTACTTAATGAAATTATTTTGGAAGATTGGAAGACTGCAACTCCCAAATTTCTCCATGTGAAGAACCTTCTCACCCGGCTACAACAGAAAAAACAAAGACCACCACCCTCCAACATAGCTAGGAGAATGCAACAACTCCCAAGCAACTCATGAGATGAAGGAGACTCTATCCATACACCACCAAACTGGAGGAAAGACGACTGGCAGGCTCCACATACAGAAGGCTGAAGATCTTGATCAAGGTCCTCTGTTTATGAGGAAGTTTGGAGCCATGACAGTGGAGCTGGCACAACCTAACAACTAGCTACTGTAATCTTACAGGTGTCAAAGAGCTGTCAAAAACAAGCCAACTGCACTGCTGAAATCTTCAGATCTGTAGCCCAGAGCAGCTTTAAAGAGGCTCGGCCAGACCTGGTACTTGAGACAAAGTAAAAGCAGGGATAATACACTCTATGATCCTCAAGTGCTGAGGAGTGATGGTAGCACAGGATGCCACTGCATCCATGCAGACGCAGGAGTTCCAGTGTGTTTTCATTATGAAAATGCCCAACATCTAATTAAACAAGGCAAAGCAAGATTAGTTAAATTTAACTGTATTAAATTAGAGAATAATCTCATTAGCAGCTATCTAAACCCAATTCCTTTAAATGAGAAGCCTAAGAATGAATAAGCACCTTTTGGATTTTAAAGGCATCTGGCTTCTCTACAAATAAAGTTAATACATACTGAATAGGAAGAAAAGCATTTGTACAGTACTTTTTTCCATTCCATATTTAACATTATTAAGTAAGATTTAGCAGAAAAGCTAGCTAATTTAAATCACAATTAACAAGAAAAAAAGATTAAGAATACAGAAACACAAAAAGCAAAGCAAGGCTTGTTTTGCACACCAACGTTATTTACACTTGCACACTGTTATTGGAGTGGGGAGAGCAGTGTATTTTCAACACTCTTGTCACCTGGGCTTTGGGAATGAACACCAGTATTACTTGTGAGTATAAGCTGGAGAGCATGCATTATCATAATCATGCATTATTACATCATTGATTTCCTAACTTCAATCGGAAAAAAAAAAAAAAAAAAAGCCCAAACATGTAAAAATTCCTACCTAACAGGGCTCTTGTCTTTTCTGAAGGGACTTTTGCTTCTGGAGCGTCGTCTGCTGTAAAGGGAGATCAACAAGATTGTAAGAAAACCTTCAAATGTAACAGTTTGATTTTAAACAAAACCTATTAATGATGCAATGAAAAGTAGAGAAAACTCAGAAACCTTAATTTTATGCTGTGAGGCAGACCAATCTTCCCTCTGATGGCACTGTTGAATTTTGGACCAGAACTACAACAAAAGCAAAGAGAGACATTACCCACCAGAGTACTGATTTCCTGTTTGTACTCACATCACATTGCCAGTGTTCACCCACCCTCGCACCTCAACTGGTAAACTTTTGCCATTAACAGCACCCATGGCATGCATAAGCTACGTGCAGCACTCCAAACCCTACAGCACAGAATACGCTCCCTGTTCAGTTTCATCTGCATCGCAAAACTCCCAGAATATGCAGGACTCCAAGAAATGAATCATGAGCCAGCCACACACAGCACATTTGTATGGGTGTTTTCTGAGCTACAGTCACTGCTGTAAACTTTACATTGCTCTTTTGTCCACATGCATACTCTACCTACTATATATACTACATAACTGCAAAGCAGTACCTTAATGGCCTGGAACTCAGCCTCAGGGTTTTGAGCAAAGTGCTGCTGGCAGGACTATTTGCTCAACTGTAACAGTTTAAAACTGAAAGTTTCATTAAATTTAAGGTGCAAGTGGAAACCCAAGTAGCTCCCTGCAGACCTCTGCAAGGGATACATTCACCAATGTTGTCTCAGCCCTAGCCACTGAAGTGCTACGAGTACGTAAATGCCGCTTCTGAAGTTCTCAATGGACATCAAAATACAGAGCCATTTAAAGCCAGCAGTTAACCTTACATAGACATGTCCACCACAGAAGGAATCCAATCTCTTGGCTGAATCTAATTTTAGTTCTCCAGGCTTCACAGAGGCTGCTAGAACAAATGGCAATCTGCCCGGTGCTTCTATGTTAAGGATAGTCCTCTTGCTAGTTCTTGTGGCACAAGGTAACAGACTGTGACATGAACAGTAAGATTCATCCTATCATGTTCTCCCTGAACTTGATCTCCATGTAGATACAAGGCAAAGAACACCACCTGTTAACATTCTTCCTGTATACCTACTCAACGGCAGAGGCACTGCTGCACAGACTAGGGGTTTGTCTTTCCACCTGCACAGAATTGATTCTTTCTGCTGTGGCTATAAATTGAGGTGAAAACGCCCTGAAAGACATGGTAATCTGAAGACATTAGGTAGTCTTTCACTAAATTCATTTAGCCAACCAATTTGTCTGATAAACATCTTGCTACTCAGTGGAACAGTAACGCTTATCATTAAACTCAGCGTCCACAACAAGGAAGAGGATGCCCATTTTTAAACGTGACACTGATGGAAGTAGTGGGCCAAGATCCAAAACCATGCTAGCCAGGTTAAAGCAAGGGAATATGGCCCTGTATAATACTGGGGAAAAAAAATGAAGAGACCATTTAGAAACTACTTATTAAGAGAAAATAAGACAAAGAACAGGCATATGTTGAGATGAGATCATTATTGATCAAAACAGACTTTTTTTTTTCCTAGGACCAATTTACTCCATTTCCTACTCAGGTTCAGACAAAAGAGCACTGAGGGCATCCACTGAGGTTCTCCAGTGTCTGACACACTGCCAGAAGCTGCACCTGGAGATGTCGGTACTAATTCTATTAATTCTGAGTTCTTGTCAGAGATGGGATTACCTTGCATCTTCACACCTCCAGATGCAGAATGTGCTGTTCTCCACTTCAATTCAAATGCAGCAAGACAAGCCAATTACAGTGACTCCAGAATATTAACATGCAGACCAACTAAATGACGGTCAATCATCAAGACCACAAGTGTTTAAGGAAACAGTGAAAGAAATGTTCTAAGCTTTTGTCTAAACCTAGTGAAAAAATACCTGAGAAGATACACAGTAAGTTTTCAAATACAGGCAGAACTTCTGAGAGAAAAAACAAAAACTCAAACACCAACACAACTCCAGAAGTCTTTTTCATTTTGACTCTTGACAAGCAGTATATTATTTACATGACTACATAGGAGAAACATTAAAAGTCTGCAGCAAACCAAAGCCGTAACAGATCACTAGAACAGACTGAGCAGAAAGCTGCCTGGGGCAAGATGATGGCCCAAGTTACCTTCTGAAAATTCTTTTGAAAAAGTATTCTACGAGATGCATTTATTTGTGCTTTTCTAAGGAGACTTACTCGCAGAACTGTAGCTCTCAGGGGAATTTTCTTCTCTCTCCTCCTAATGCCTAAAAACTCTTTGAAATTGTTGCCTGGCTCCTGCTATTATGTACAAAAGCAACAAGGCACAAGCAATTTATGTCTAGGGGTTAATTTCTTCATAAGACAAATGCACTAGGTCCTGTGTACAGCCCAAGCACACCAAGGTGCATGTTTTCTGAAACACACGAGATGTTATATAGCCCAAGTCAAGTCACAAGACAGCCAGTAAATCATTAACATTCACCTGCTCAGTCATTATCCAAGACTCTGCTTCTCCAGTGTTGAGTGGCATACCTCAGAGGTCACCCTCAACAAGTTTGCCCATGACAGCAAGCTGTGTGGAGCAGCCAACACACTGGAAGGAAGGGATGCCATACAGAGGGATCTGGACAGGCTGGAGAGGTGGGCCCGTGTGAACCTCATAAAGTTCAACGAGGCTAAGTGCAAGATCCTGCACATTGGACAGGGCAATCCCAAGAACAAATCCAGGCTGGGCAGAGAACAGACTGAAAGCAGCCCTGAGGAGAAGGACTTGGGGGTGTTGGTGGATGAGAAGCTCAACACGACCCAGCAACGTACACTGGCAGCCCACAAAGCCAATCATATTCTGGGCTCCATCAAAAGAAGTGTGGCCAGCAGGACGAGGGAGGGGGGTTCTGCTCCTCTGCCCTGCTCTGGGGAGACCCCCCTGTAGCGCTGCCTTCAGCTCTGTGGCCATCAACATTTGAAGGACACGGACCTGTTGGAACAGATGCAGCAGAGGGCCACGAAGATGATCCAAGGGCTAGAGCATTTCTCCTATGAACACAGGCTGAGAGAGCTGGGGTTGTTCAGCCTGGAGAAGGCTCCAGGGAGACCTTATAGCAGCCTTTCAGTACCTAAAGAAGCCCTATAGAAGAGATGGGGAGGGACTCTTTGAGGGAGTGTAGCAATGAGGGGCAATGGGTGCAAACTGAAAGAGAGGAGATTTAGATTAGGTATTAGGAAGAAATTCTGTGCTGCGAGGGTGGTGAGACCCTGGCCCAGGTTGCCCAGAGAAGCTGTGGCTGCCCCATCCCTGAAGGGGTTCAAGGGCAGGCTGGATGCAGCTTTGGGCAACCTGGTCTGGTGGGAGGTGTCCCTGCCCAGGGCAGGGGGGCTGGAACTCGATGGTCCTTAAAATCCCTTCCAATGCAAACCATTTTATAATTCCAAGAGTCTCAGACAAGGCAAGATTTAGCTAACAAAGTCCAGGAGAATGACAATGTTTCAGTCTCCAGGTGATAACCCCGTTTTCCCAGCAGTTCTGCCCAAATTCTTGGTTCCAGAATAGCAACAGGACAGTCAAGTGACTTCTACTATATTTTAGCAGTAGCTGGGATTTGTCATGCAGATGTGTAAGCAAGAATACCTGGTCAAGTTCTTTCTCTTAAGAGACCTAATAGTATAACTGCAAAACACTTAAGGGGCAAGATATTCAAATAACATTTAAAAAACCCTGTGAGAACAAAGCAACACAAACCAGCCACCCAATTTTAAAAAACTCAAACATTTAATCACTATCTCATGCCTAACGATGACAAAGTCCTCAGGTTCTCTGTGGCACATTCTTCCTTTCCTTCAGAATCACCTGTACTAGACCTTCTCTTCTCACTATTGTGACTTCCACGTCACCATTGGCAGCAAAACATCTAAAATTTAGAGATACTAGCTTTAAAAGGGGCCTTTATAAAGCAAGTAAGAAAGATCACAAAGAGGAGGAAGCGCAAAAGGTAAAAATTTAAAACCAGTTCCTCTCCTCGGAGCGAGAGGTGAGGGACAGCATCTGTCATCCATCATTGGCCAATCCAACCAAACCACAACAGCATTCTAAACCAGACGTTGCAGTCAGCTACAACAACGCCTGCAGTAAAACCAACTCAGAACTGTCTGAACAGCAGCCTCACCAGGTGAGATTCCAGCTTCAAATTCTCCAGCCAGTGAGAGCACTCCGGTAATTACTTTTGAAATGCTAAGCTGATGGCAGTGATACAGAGATGGTTTCTTTATATGGAAGCACCATTTTTGGTAGATCCAAAGGAGGCTGGTGAAAAAGACTTCATCTCCAGAACTTATCTCTCCCTGAAAGTCAAGCATCCCTTACACGGCTTTTAAAGGCGAGTCTCTGTATTTTCCTGAACAGAAAATGAAGAGTTCTCCTTCCTATCTTCTGATGTCCTTCCAACCCAAAACTAGAATTCTGGAATCACACTAGCATGTGTATCACTTCAATAGCATCATCCATGACCTGCAAGTGAACGCCACCCAACTGCTAGCTGCACAATCAGTACCAAGGCTTCTGGGATGCATGTAGTTGCCCTCTAACAGTCTTCCACAAAACCAAAATCCTACTTTGTTAAATGAAAGCAACAATCCACCAACTGAAGCAGAGAACACAATGCTACCAAACCATTAAGTGCAACCTCATATTCTCAGGGGGCACTAGACTATCTTGCTTTTTTTTTTCCATTGTCTCTCAATACCAGAGAAATTGCCCAGAATAGCTATGGAAAAGCATCAGAACAATGAAAAAGACCCCTTACGCTCCTGACATAACATATCTTGATGCATTAAAGCAGGCATGGATTATTGTCCGTACATTCAACCATTACTTAATGAAATTATTTTGGAAGATTGGAAGACTGCAACTCCCAAATTTCTCCATGTGAAGAACCTTCTCACCCGGCTACAACAGAAAAAACAAAGACCACCACCCTCCAACATAGCTAGGAGAATGCAACAACTCCCAAGCAACTCATGAGATGAAGGAGACTCTATCCATACACTGCAACAACTCCCAAGCAACTCATGAGATGAAGGAGACTCTTTCCATACACCAAACTGGAGGAAAGACGACTGGCAGGCTCCACATACAGAAGGCTGAAGATCTTGATCAAGGTCCTCTGTTTATGAGGAAGTTTGGAGCCATGACAGTGGAGCTGGCACAACCTAACAACTAGCTACTGTAATCTTACAGGTGTCAAAGAGCTGTCAAAAACAAGCCAACTGCACTGCTGAAATCTTCAGATCTGTAGCCCAGAGCAGCTTTAAAGAGGCTCGGCCAGACCTGGTACTTGAGACAAAGTAAAAGCAGGGATAATACACTCTATGATCCTCAAGTGCTGAGGAGTGATGGTAGCACAGGATGCCACTGCATCCATGCAGACGCAGGAGTTCCAGTGTGTTTTCATTATGAAAATGCCCAACATCCAGGTGACAATGCAAAATGAGACGCAGAGACCTTGGGCATTCCAAGAGTACCAGAAGGAACGCACTCCTTGCATTCGGACCCAGCCACCAAGAAAAACATCCATGTGCTGTACAAGTCTGCAATTTATCAAAAAGTAAACATCTTGAAAGAGATTTCTCCATCACAGATGATGTTACATGCCATGATTTTAAAAATACATGTTTTTCAAATGCCTGCTTCTGACATGATCTTGCATTCTAAGATTTGACAACAGTTGAGATGAGGCCTGGACAAAAGCAGACACAAACAGCAGCCTCAGGTAATCAATGAAAGCCAAGCACACAGCCCAGTTCTCACTGTTTTCCTGCTTCTTTGAAGGCAAAAAGAGGCAATGGGGAGCAAAGAGGGCAGGAATACAAAGCAGCAGAAACACAGAATAAATACCAATGAAAAAGTGGGTTTTAAGAAACAATTTACAACTGTCAGGAACTACCTATAACAGAAGTTCTATCAAGCCAAAGATCCGAGAGGAACTGAAGAATTCTTCCACAGCCTCTAAACAAGTTTCAAAAAAAGCAGGGCAAATATGCAACACATGGGCATTACTAAGACAAGACACTTCCAGTCTGGATGCATAAACACTTCCTGTGTTTAAGCAGTAAGTGTTTAAGAGCAGCAACCCAGTAAAAACCTTTAGTAAGAAAAGCAAAAGGTTTTATGAGCATGTAACCCAAGTCACAGACTATTCATTTTTTGACAGTTAAACCATCATACATAGGATCATACACTGAAGATAATTAGGGCATGCAGAAAACCTGACTCTTATTTTAGTTTTCTGATACGCTTTGTTTTGCAGTCAGTTGTACACATTCTTCTACTTGCTTTTGCATCTTTCTGCATTCAGGTAAGAATGAAAACTAGCAGTAGGAACTTAGTACGTTTCTGTCCTCTTTTTCACTCCTCTCACCTTCTTTTTTGAGATTAGTGACCAATTAAGAAAGCAGAGACTGAAACTTTAAACTTCCACATCATACACTGAAGGAGCACACATGCAAGTCTACGCAAATAACCTACTAGGGACTTCTATAGCGGCCTCTGAATCTGCGATCTCTACTCCTAGAGCGGCTGCGTCTGCGTTCTTTGCTTCTGCTCCGCTTCCTTTCCCGGCTTCTGCTCTTTTTCCTTTCCCGATCTCGGCTCCGTTTGCGTTCCTTACTTCTGCTCCTCTTCCTGTCATGGCTCCGACTTCGGCTCTTGCTCTTTTTTCTCCTGAGACAGAAAAATACAACTTTGGTTTACACATGTGGCTCAGTGTTATGATTTACCTCACATTCCACAGTTTCTCTAACCTGACGTCACAGACATTGATAGGAGAAAGTTTCTACCTGCTGATATTTATACAGGTTTCTTTTGTTAAACAGGTGGTTAAGCATGTCACCGGTCTTAAAATTTATCACTAACAACAGAAAGTGCTCCAAAGCACTTTATTTTAACTTTTGAAATCACTAAAGAATGCTTCCAGGACGAGTAGAAGGACTGACATATTTCCTGCATTAGATCTAGTACACGCTACATGCAGTATTTCACATGTCTTTCAAACATACTTTAAATACATTGTCAAGATGCTAAGAATAAGTTGTATTGTTACAGCAAAAGTAAAACAAAACACAACAAAAATAGAAAGGAAGAAGCAATCTGAGGGAAAGGAAGGTTTTTTTCCTCTTGCTACTCCCTGCTACCAGGCCTTAATATACTGCCTAAGAGTTCTGCTTCATACTTACTACTCCCACTCACAAGCCACTTGCTTTTCTAAGCCTGCAGCTCTTACAGGTTTGGGACAAAACACATTTCTTCATAATTTTAAACATTTACTCAGAAAATTTAAATTAACTAATTACAGTAACTAATTAACAGCAGTTGGTCTTCAATAAAGACAGTAACTACTCACTACCCAACAGTAACCTGAACCCTCTTTGCATGGAAAGACTCCTAGAAGTCAAGATCCATACTCTGTCTCATAATCATGACCACACTGGACATGCAGTACAGTCATCAAGTAAAATTGCAGGTCCTTAATCAGAAGTTTAGTAAGATTTGACAATTATTGAAAGCTGCACACTGAATCTAATGTTACTTTTTAGTTGTTGGTGCTTCCTGTTGATTACTGTTTTTGCAACAGTTTCAATCTTGTTTCAGTTGGACAACTAAAGTAGTTAATGAAAATTGACACTTCAATTTAATTGATAAGCAAAGCAAGAAATCTTGCAAAGCCTATATACACTTTAGTCTTCAGCAACAGAGTACACTACCACAAGTAAAATAGAAAATGGTGTAATTTGTTCTTTAAAGATTATGAGGACCAGCCGTACCAAATCAAAATTCTCAGACAAAAAGCTTCATACTATCAGAGATGTGCAGTACAAGAGTAACCTTCTAGCAATTGCCAACTTGAAAAATGAAATGGGGAGATACCACAGAAGCAACATTTTTGAACAGACACGAGGGTACAATTAGGAAAGCAGAAAAAGAGGTCAAACTCCACACAACAAATAAGGCTAACAGTACCAAAACACTTTGACTTGCTCTATTTTACAGTAATGTAATTTTTTTCTAAACTTATTTACTGATTACTTATTTTTTTCTGAATTAGAAAAAAATACTCAGAGCAAACAGGTCCAACCTGAAAACGGGGCCACAGGCAGAAAGATAACACATGTCATTGCTTATTCTGGGGCAAGTTACAGCAACTAAGGAAATGAACTGAAAATACATTCTAGTATTCTCATCCCGCTGCCATGAACCAAGGTGAGAACCAATTCTAAAATTTAAAAAACACTGCTCTTCTTTCAGATCCCAGTTTATATATTGAGACAAGCCTTCCAAACAAAAGCAGGGTTCTACATGCCATGTATGTGTGTTTTAAAGCAATACAAATTCAGAACTTAAATATACTGGGAGCAGCTGCTTTTGATGGGGTTTTAGGGCTCCCCATTATTAGCACAAGAATGATGTTCACAGTATTGTTGAGAACAAGATGTAAGATAGAATAAATTTTAGATGATTAGATTCCAATATATGTCTGATGTTAGAACTGGACTTCTCATTTCCCAAATACGTATACAGCTGGCAAGAAATGTTCTTTGGATCCCTTCAGCATTTCAACTATACGATTTCAGAAGATGACAACAGCACAACTTAAATTAGCCGTGTATTACAGAAACACACTGGTAACTGTTTACTCAGCTATCAAATTCACAATGATTCTTCCTACAGCAACTATCAAATAATGCTTGTAAGGCAAAGAATTTATTTTAAAGGCTTAATAAACCTTCCATTTATTTGGGGTATTTAAGAGACTTTTTATAGAATGCCTCTTTCTTCAAATTTCTGATTTGATTCCAGATTGTCATAAGCAGGTGTTCAGATTCATGAATTATGCATCCTAAAGATGAGCTTGTACTCTTTAAAAAGGTTATACTATAGTCTTACAAAGTTTAGATTATAATTTAAAAATTGAGAAATTTTTGAATGGGGGGGAAATAGAGGGAGGGGATCCAACACCCTAAACCTTTTCAAGAAAGCACTGGTATCTTTAAATGCTTTGCACTGTTCCAAATTGCATAAAATTCTACACCAGACACACTTTTAAATGCAAAATCCATTGCATTGCTAAAGCAAGAAAAAAGACATTAAATATCCCAAACCTCCCAAGTCTGTATTTTTATTTAACATTAAATTTTGCCACAACTTCGATGACATCAGTGACAAAGGTGTAACTACATTTGTAAACAAAATGTACATTTGAAAACAAAATTTCATAATTGCTGCAGTTGCAGCTGCTGCAAGTATCAAGCTCTATTATTTTATTTCCCCAAACACTACCAACATGCATTTGCAAGTTCACAAAAATCAGCAGCCCCCCTGCAACGTTGAGAACTGAGAAAATACTTACTTCTTGCTGCGTTCTTCATGGCCATTGGCACTGCTCAATTTGTTCTCATCCTAAGCAGGGTTGATAGAAGAACATCGTGAGGACGAAGCGGAAACATTTCAAGTGGTCAAAGGGTAATGGGAATAGGAATAAGAGAATACAAAACAAAAAATTTAATACTAAATTACTTGTTTACAGTTTAATGTGGAAAGCTTTAGAAAATTTAGGTAAGCATGTTTAACCACTTTGCTGCTTAAATTTAAGTCATACAATTACAAAATACAAGACTTACATAATTTTAAATTGTATATAAAATTGTAGATACTTCCTTACATGGTTTAGAGAGCAAGTTATCCTGTAGAATTCAGCACTCAAGTGGTTAAATGTTATTTCTATAAAATGTAAGAGGAAGTTTCAGGTTTGTGTTTGTGTGCCCCTCTGATCAGTACCAAGGCTACATCTCTGCCTAAGCCCCAGTGGCTATGCTAGCAGCCAGCCACTATGGATTTCCTGTGACCGATGCCATTCCCGAGATCTTCGCTCATTTTCGTTGAAGGGTTGTAAGAGCTTGATGTCACCTCTGTCACACATCTCGCCCTGAAGCAAACAGGGATTCACACTGCTTTAGTAACGTCGACTCCCAAGAAAGTCATCAATAATCCACCAGTCCAGCCTAAACATTCCCTATTTCCATACCTGTTTACATGGAAAATATCCATGTTAAACCAGGACACAAGAATTTTTACATAACAATTTATAAATTTCTCTTCAAGACTTTAACGTAAATGCTAAATATTACATAAACTAAATATACCACTTAAAACTTACAAATGCTCATCCAAAATTCAAGACATGGTTGTAATAAACACTGCAGAATAGACTAACAATAGCTGCTATATAATTTATATACTTGTGTTACAGTTTAATCACATCAGTTACATCGAAAGTACAATTCCTAAGTGATTTAAACTTAATATACATTTCTTGCAAAACCAGTGCTAAAGCATGCATAATGTTAACACTTCACCACCATTTGGTGAAAAACAAAAAAAGACAGTATTCATTTGCTGCTGGTTTAGGTAAAAGACATCACTACACTAATTGATAAAAATTTTGCATAAAAATTGACATTTCCTAATTAAACAACTAGGACAGAAGACTACAAGAACTTATTTTAGAATGACACCGCAGACTGTGATACTGTCTTTTACTTGCTAAGAACGTTCTATTCAGGGATCCAAGAATCTCCATAAATTCGTTCACTCAGCAATTGATTTCCATCTGCCCTGTTAAAAGATTAACCGCCACCAGTCTTCTGCATTAAAAGCAAGTATCACTCTTCTTGCACTGAGCAGACAGTTCAAATATTTACTTGCCATGGGACTGGTGAAAAGGTTATTCTTGGAACCCTGCTGTTTTCCCAAACCACTGCATTCACCTTGTAGCTATACCAAACTGGACCTGGCAATTTTAGGAGAAGTTTTTGGTTTCTCGTTTGAGGGGGTGGGATTTGTTTGTTTTGGTTTTTTTGGGTGGCTGTTTTGATTTTGTTTTGTGGTTTTTTTGTTTTTGTTTTTTTAACCTAGGGGACCACGGTACAGCGATACGTCACTCAATTACTACCTTATGATTGACAGTTCACACTGGAATCAAAGGTGAATTCATGGGAGTAGAGGTGAGATATCGTTAGGCAAGTCTACAAAGAGAGATAGATGGGCATTTATTCATCACGCTGAAGTGAAACTACTGCACAATATAATTACATTAACAGTATATATTTACTTGTAAGTTACATGTAATGCATCTCCAATAAGATAAATCATGAGGGCTCCAGGGATGTTAGTTTACAGTTCAGCAGTAGTTTCATGAATAATGCTAAATTAAAGTAAACAGGACCTCACTGGGACATTTTTCTCACCTTCTTGTAAGGAGCTTCAAGCATTGCTTCAATATCAATATCATCAGCCATTTTTCAGGACACCTGGAAAGAGAAGCAAAATCCACCTGAGCTAGAAAAAAAAACACCCTTGTGCTTTATATTCTAAAGACTTTTGCTTAAGAAGCCATCATTGCATTGGCTCAAATTCACAGAGCAGTGCCTTAGAAGACATATCCAACAGGAACTGGAATGAAGCTTTGCCCAGTGAGAATAAAGAATGTGACAGAAAGCAATTATAGCTGCAAACAACAAAATGCTATTGCACACAATGAGCCAGTGGAAACCCCAGAGGTATTCCACTTATTTCTTCCAACACAAAGAGGACAGCTCATTTATGTTACAGAAACACAGGTCTGGCAGCCATCTTGAGAAGTACTAGAGCTTGACCAAAGGACCCAAGAGAGACATGGAAAGAACACACAACAAGCATTCAGGCAAACCTGTTCACAGCCTCCTAGCATTTGCTACCATCCCAATTACTAATCTGAAGCCATAAAGTGAACACTATGGTCCTGTAAGAAATGCAGTGTCCTGCATAATAGGGGCCACAGAAGAAACAGTTACAATTCAAGCATTAAGAGCTACTAAAGCATACATAAGATCCATCCAGTCTGGAACTTCAGGTTTTAGACAAAAAAAGTCCACCATGCCACGTAACACTAGTCACCACAAACTTTTTTTTTTTCAAATTGTTCCTCTTATTTTTCATTTTCAACCCCCAATGTAATTTTGTGTTACTCTGAATCCCTTTGACATTTGATTTCCTTTCTCTAAACAGGTATCCTATTAAGAAACTCTCAAGACTCTGCATTAAGATACACAGGCTCAACTTCCTCAAATCTCTTACTAAAACAGTTTCCTTTTTATTTAAGCTTAGAAATGGACGGGCCTCTGGATCCAAGTCAGACAGCCCAAGAGCAAAGATCTTCCTGCATGTGTGCCATGTATGGCTTTTTAATCATACAGCTTAGTTCTTGCACCTCGGTTACAGGCACTGCTGTAGGAACTGTGCTCTCCAGAGACAGGGCCAGCCTAATGAAATTGCTCCAACATTTCAAGATCCTTTAAAGCTGTTCACTCGAAACTGTGAATATTATACCAGAGCTACACCATGTCTAAGAATTAAGTCACTCCCGTATGCACATCTGACCATCACCCATTAACACAATCAAGAATAAAATATAATCCCTTAACAGTATCAGAGCACTGGAAGTTGCTACTCAGTTACTTACCCAATGCATAATAACCTAATTTTTAAGTTACTACCTCCTGGTGTACTGTTACTTACAAATATGATAATCCTTAGTTTATGTGTAATGGCTCAATTTTACTTTTTACTAGGGTATTTACATTCAGCTTTCAAGTCATCTACATGCATGCATACAATTTACTTTACCATTTCTTTACTGGTATTTGGTATGAACAAGTACACCAGTACGATCAAGGACCATGAAAAAGCACCAGGCCAAACCCAGGATTCTACAAGATAATTGCCACCAGTAACAACTTCCACTCACAATTACATTTTCATGTGTAATTTAGCTAACATTTCCAGCTACACCTGTGGTGGGATTCTTCCTCCTGAACAGGGTTGGCCAAAGAGGATGACAGGGCCCATAGTAGAGACTGCCAAATATGACTGGTATGGAAAAATGAATAGGGAGTGACTATTACTGCATTCAGCCGAATAATAAAGAGTGAATGAACTATCACGCGGTAGGTTCAAAACAAAGGTCCTTATTCAAAAAGCATTAAGCCATGGAATTCACTGTTAGAGAGCACTGCGGATACTAACAAAGAAAAAAAACACATGCAGTGTTTAAAAAAAACCCAAAAAGCACAAAAGTTTGAAAAAACCTTTCATTAAACAAAGGCATGCCTTGTGACCCTGAACCACAACTAGCTGACAACTACGAGCACACAGAGAGAAGTATCACTGTGTGACTGCCTTGTGTTTCTATTCTTTCTTAAGCATTTACTGTTGGCCACCATGACAGAGAAGATCCTGACTTACACAGACCTTCGGTCCCACCCAGTGCAATCTGTGCCCTTTGTACTCTATACAAAATACTTTCATTGGTATAATAGTATGTTTTTATTAAATACCTTCTGTTCACGTTCCTACTACAACTCTGTAATTCATGTAATGCATATAATAATATCTGTAAAGTTGTTATTCTTTAAAAAAAAAATCATAAATAAGAGCCCTTATTAACCTGAAGCTTCGTGGGTCTACAGAAAACCTAAAGGGATGTGAAATTTACTGCTACTGATCTAACCAGTATTTTGGAAGGCAGATTCCAACCACTTTTTGCCGTGTTATACTGCATAAAATGAGTTTAAAAAGGTCCTGTCCTCGAAATTATTTGCTCAGGGAATTCCAAAAAATGACAGTTCCATTCTTGCTTTGCAAAGAGCCTCCTGGAGAAGCACCAGGGAAGTTTAGAGAAAAGGCTGACGCCTGGAGCGGGAACACCAGCTCCTGGCAACACACACACACCTCTGCACAACGGGCTCCCGCAGCCTCCGCGCACCCCCCGGGCCATCGGCTTCCCAAACGAGCGGCTCCGCCGGTGCCCACCCGCCCCAAGCACCGCGCCTCCCGCGGCGGCTGCAGCCCCGGCCAGCGCTCCCCCGCCTCCCGTCGCTCCCCGCCCCATC